CTTTTGGTCACTTACTTTTTTTTCACTACTTTCATATTTCTTCTTCTTCTTCTCGTTTCTTTTCTTTTCTTCTTTTCCGTTTCTGATATGGGGAAGGTTGGTTAGGCTCTTATTGTTGTCAGATGTATCTTATGATCGCTTTGGCTCCTTTCATTTTTTAGATTCCAAAGTTTCTGTTTGGTTGCCAAGGAGATCGATAATTATAGGTGTGATGGGAGTAGAGGAAGGAGGAAATTCGAACTTTTCGCTCCGTTTTTTCGTTTCATTTCGGTTTCTTGGTTTTTTCTCTAGCTGAGTTTTGATCCGTAAGAAGCCTTAGTTTCAATTCAGATTAGATACTCCGTCGGGTCCAAAAAGGGGACTTTAAGATTTTTTTTGAAAAGGAAAATTAAAGGTTCTTAGATGACACTTGGAATTTTATATTTGACTTGTAATTTTTGAAATGATTCAGCTGAAAAATCTGAAAAATAGAAGGAATTTAGCGTAACTTTTAAGTAAAGCGTTGTACTGAGCTCAAATTTGGAGACCTAAACATTGAATCATTCATCACTAAACTGACCAAATTTTAAATCAATTGATCAACTTTGAGCTGAGTTGTCGGTTGTCAAATTTGCTTCACTTCATGGAAATCATAAGAAATGCCTTTCATCTTTAGACAGTCAATAACAATACTTAGACTAGAGGAATCGTTGTGAAAGTTCTAGTAGCTTTGAATCAAATGTAAAATTATATTTCCACCAATTTCCGTGCTTCCACGAGTAGAAGAATGTCTCCAGAAGACGTCAGAAACAAAATTTTGAAAAATAAAAAAGTTGGGCATCATCTCGTTGCTATTTCAAGTTATCTGTAAAAATTTGAGGGATTTGGGTCCATTCAGGACTTCGCTAGGGTATATTCAGAAAGTGTTAATATTTCTGTTATTAGGTTGGCGGGAAAGTCTTTGTCACTTTTTCAATAGTTTATTTCTCAAAGAAAAAATAACCGAATAATTAATTATATTGTCCATCATTATCAACAACATGTCTCCAACGTTCCCTCAATTTATGGATTCCATTGCGGTAGAATCCAGCCGGGCGTGAGGCAAAGTATTGTTTGAGTGCCGCTTCGACCGCTCCACGGGAATTGAAGCTTCTTCCTTCGAAGGCACGTGTCATATCGCCAAATAACCAATAGTCGGAAGGAGCAAGATCAGGAGAATACGGGGGGTGAGGGAGAACATTCCATCCATATCCCATCAGCTCCTGCTTCACTTGTTTCGAAACATGTGGGCGAGCGTTATCATGTTGATAGTACACTTTCTTGTCTTTCAGGGCCGAACGGTCGACTGCTTTCTTGAGGTTTCGTAGTTGAGTAGTGTAGAGGTCTCCAGTTATTGTTTTGCCCTCGGGCAGAAGTTCCCAGTAGATGGGGCCGTCCACTCCCCACCACACAGAGAGCATAACTTTTTTCGGATGAAGGTCGGGTTTGGGGACATCCTGTGGGCTCTCTCCTTCTCCAACCCACTGGGATTTCCTGTGGTGATTATCGTAGAAGACCCACTTCTCATCTCCGGTTATTAGCCGGTCCAGCCATCGATCGCCCGCGTGGAGAGTGAGAAGAGTAATCGAATCGTCGACTCGGCGGTCAAGGTTGGCTTGAGTCAGGTGATGAGGTATGAATCGACCAAAAAGTTTTCTCATTCCAAGAGACTTCAAACCTTCAAGGACTGTGCTATGGTGAACTCCGAATGTGACAGCTAGTTCACGGCTAGATTGACATGGATCCGATTGCAATGCGTGCTTCAGCTTGTCCAAATCCAACTCACGGGGTCTCCCAGAGCGATCCTTTTCATCGAGCGAGAAGTCATCTTTTTCGAAACGATGGAACCAATTGCGAATAGTATTGTAGTGAGGGGCATGTGTGTTGTACACATTCTTCAAGAAAGTTTCCGAATCCTTCATCGTGGTGTGAGATAGGAAGAGGTAAATCAAAACATGTCTGATGTGAATAGCAGTGGGAACAAACATATCGTTTCAATTACAGATGAGGAGCAGGGAAGGAGATGGGGACTTGTTTATATGGAAGGTTCTTATCACCTTGTTATTCACTAGAGTCGATATCATACACAGCCTCCATATACGAGAACAGTGATTAAACAAACAGAGTGACAAAGACTTTCCCGCCAACTATAATATATTTGTTGAAAAAACACGTTGCTCCCAAAATATTAACGGTCCATCTTTTGGGAGATTCAAAAGATTCACGTGGCTCACAAAAATATTTGAAATTTCAGTACTTTGATGTGAAAATTAAAACTTTTGAAATTCACTACTTGTTATATAATCTTTTTTACAGTGTGCGCCACCCTGTAGACTATCAGTCCTCGCTGACATAAATTTCCCAGGCTATCAAAAACTCTGCCACCTTTCAATCCACCTGTCAGACATGCCCACCCACGGGACTTCCTCCAAATTTTCCAATTTCCCCTTTTAGCCTT